CAAAATATTGCAAGCTAAATTTCTTGGTTATATTTTTTTAAAAATAAAATATACTGCTTATTATGCCTTCTATTCTCTATTTCTTATTGATTTTGCCTACTAATAAAATACAATTATTCTTTCACTAGGACAGGGGTCTGCAACCTTTAAGACAAAAAGAGCCACTTGGACCCGTTTCCGAAGAAAAAAAAAACCTGGAAGACGCAAAACTCGTCATTATAAAATTAACTTTTTTGTCACTTTTTTATTATTTCTTTGTTTGACCCCTCAGAATTACTCCTCCTCATAGAAATAAACGTTAAATTAACAAGTTATCTTTTTTTGTGTGTGTATTCTTCACTCCCCTTCAAAACAGTGACCAATGTACATGCCCCTTACAATGTAGCGGGCGGGTGGGAAGGTGACGTCGGGACGCTGCGTGACTAACGCACGCACCGCCCCCATGCGACGTCACAGCCAGTATAGCGCCCGCCACAGTGGGGAGTGTCGGGGTGCACAATGCGCCTCCTCCCCTCGCTAGTATCTGCCCCGGAGCCGCGGCAAAGGTGTGAAAGAGCCACATGTAGCTCCGGAGCCGCGGGTTGCAGACCCCTGCACTAGGATGACAGAGCACTTTAATCAACTTAAACGGCCGGACTCCCTGATGCAAAAAATACTAACAGTCTTTTTGTAAGATGCCCTATGCAACACGAGGGCAGGAATGAGACAGAGGAAAGAGCGGTATGTGTTGATGACAACACTGTCTACAAGATGTCTGCAATACCTCTGCAACCATGAGGACTAGTTGAACTTATTGCAATCTGTATGGGGATCTCTAATGTGGTGGCTGAAGTGTCCTGGGAAACTGCCGTGCAAAACTGTCTATTATTAATCCAATGCTGAGTGCAATCCATCAAAAATTAGTAAGTGTCATCATGAAATTATAATGTAAGGATTACAAAATGATGTTCTATGGGAACCTGAAGCATTTGCTTTAAAAATTATAGCTTTAGAGGCGGGGGAACTTAGTGTCGTAAAACATTCAGTGAACTATACCACAGTTCATTGACTTGGGGCAAAGAAATAATGCCTTGAAAGGTTTTTCAGCATAATACCTCTAGATTAATGGCAAGAAAGCTATAGATTAGCAAGACAGAAAATGGAAGAGAAGGCCTATACTTGGACCTGTCTGTACTACATTCTGAGACAGCGCTGAATGACAGTAAAAAATGTTTTATATTTAGAACTAAGAGAACTTCTTGCAGCCATGAAAAGCCGTGACAGCTGAAAAATGTACGGCATTTCAAGTATACAAAGCACTAGTAGGCACACAATTTGCCAGTCGTTCCTCAATAGCTCTGCAGGGCAGGCTAGTATTGTTATCCCACACCAAAGAAAGGAAAGAGCGAGTACTGGTTTGCCTAAGACTAGGCTAGCTAGAGCCATTTCACACAATACATTCTTTAGGTATCCACCTAATGAGTTTTAAGTTATACCTAAAGCATAAAGTAAGTATGACAAGCATGGCTTCCACACAAGTAGCATTGCTAGGGAGTCACCATCGCAGGTGACTGTATGTTTGGTGGGTTGCCTTTTGCATAATGTGTAAAAAGATACCAAATGCAGGGCTGCCTTCAGGTTAGATGTGAACCTCCATGCTGGTAGTGGCCTCCCCACTTACTCACACCCCCAGCTGTGTGCTTACCTGGTGGCAGAGGTAACAGCTGGGAAGCAATTGGGAAGCTGTCCATGTTTTCAATATATCTGCAACTTTCCAGGGCAATGGAATGCCACATGCTCCGAAACACTGAAGGGAAAATGTGAGTGTGGCTTTCAAGTCTCCTGCCATAGGCTAAGTAGATGGAGAGGCCAAACTGCAGTAGTAAGTTCTGCCGGTTGACAGGATCTGGAATGAGTTCAAAGCTATGGGGACATTTCTAAGAACATAAGGAGAGCCTTGCTGGATCAGACTGAAGAACCATCTAATCCAGCATCATGTTTTCATAGTGCCCAACCAGATGCCTAGAGGAGGCTTGCAAGCAGGAGCTGAGTGTAACAGTACTCCCTCCACTTGTGATTCCTAGCAACTGCTATTCAGAGGCATACTGCCTCCAACAGTGGAGGTAAAACATAGTCACCATAGTTAGGGTCAGGGACTTGCTGGCCAAAGAGGAGTGGTGAGAGGCACCAGCTGGGGAACCCCAAGGGAGACCTCAAAGGAGGAAGGCTCAAAGCCAGGGGACTGGTGATGGGACACAGGGGAGCGGTCAGAGGGAGAAGATTGGGAAGAGGGGCTGGATGCTAAAGGGGCACCTGGGTTTAGTGAGCAGGAAGAGCCTGTAACAGGGAGCAGTTCAGAAGCTGAGGCTGAAGCAGAAAAGGGAGGTGAAGAAGCTAATGAAGAATCCAGGGAGCCTCCCTCTCCTGCTGTGACCAGCTCTCATCTGCCCTGGTCTCCAAGAATGTGCAGAGTAATGAGGAGAGCAGAACAGAAGCCAAAGGTGCGCAGATGTGTTTTGAGACTGGTTGGGAAACATCCGGGAGAGGAGGACCTGTAAAGAGGGTGGAAGGCAGGGACCACCAGTCCTGGCAACTGCTCCATAGAGGCAAGATCTGCTGTAAAATGTTGCTGAGTTGTAAGTTCGTTTCCTTGAATAAAAAGTTAGTTTCACTGACACTCTGCTACTTTGTGATAAGATGCATCTGACTGCAGCCCTGACAGCCAGGCACCGCCGACAGCTTTATCCACAAATATATTTGATCCTCCTTTAAAGCCTTCCAAGTTGGTGGCCATCACTACATCTTGTGGCAGCAAATTCCATAAACTAACTACACCTTGTGTGAACAATTATTTCATTTCCTCTGTCCTGAATCCTCAAACGTTCAGCTAAATTGAATGGACCTTCTCCTAGTATTATGACAGAAAGGGAGGGGACTTCAACTTATCCACTTTTTCCAAATGGTACATAATTTTATACACACCTGTCATTTTCCCCTTGCCTTTTTTCTTAACTAAAAAGCCCCAAGTTTTGCAAACTTTTCTGAAAGTGGAGTTGCTTCCAACCAGGAACTTCTCATGAACTTTAGTCACTGCAATGTAATCTCTAGGTTTACAAGGCACCCTCCATACCCTCCCCCCATTTAAAACAATGAACATTTGCTCATTTTAAATTTAACCCATCTATATTTATGTAACACAAAACAATTTTTCCTAACTAGTAATATCAGGACAAAATCCATTCTTTTCTTTTCTTTTCTTTTTTAACCCACCATCTAAAATATTTAAAGATCCATAATTCTGCTTGGAAAGCCACGATTCACACTAATGAGCAGAGAGCACAAGTTTGCTGCTATCCCATTTTTGATAGCTCACTGACTTTGTTTAACACTGCTGTTTAAAGTGTGTGAAGGATTTCTCAAGGGTAAACCCAGCAAATGGAAATGTGCAAACCAGAATGAGTCCCCCTTCTTCTTCTTTGTTGTCAGGAAATTGGTTTCCGATAATCTCCAGAGGTAAAGAGTATACATTAGAAGCACACATCCAGACATTCACCCCGAAGAGCTGCAATGTTATGCAAAATAAATGATGCATGACTATCATTATGTGATTTGCGGAATGCACGGAAACATCTGGAATCAGTGAAGCACATCTTCTAAAAATGCAAAGGAGTACGCTGATTTGAACGGGGGGCAGGAGAGAGAGAAAAGATGAAAAGATTAAGATGGATGCCTGCTTTTCGGTCAACGCTAATATAAAAGCTGATAAAATTGTAGTTTAGTGGTAACTAGAACATGTCAATCCCATCGTCTGCAGCCCAGCAGTTAGGAATAGCATGCTGTGGCAGCAAATAGAAATGTACCCACCACGAAGAGGCATAAATAAAAAGGGGAAAGTGAAACAGAAATTCACAGGAACAGAGTTGCAAGACTTATAGAAATTAAATGGAAGACTTCTAATGCCAACAGTTTTCTATGCACTGGGCAAGGAATGTTTAATACTAATGGGTGGCATTCAACCAAGTTTTACTAAGAGTAGACCCATCAAAATAAACGGGCCTAACATAGTCATGCTCATTAAGTTGAATGAGTTTACTCTGAGTAAAACTTGAATACGAACCAATGTAAATTAATGTTCAAGTGTTAAATGTATTTAATACACAAAAAAATCTGCACACAACAGTATTTGGTTCTATGGTGTTACAAAAGGCAATCCATTCAAAATGCCTTTCAGATTGTGTAATTTTTTAAAAAACCAAATCAACAGAAGCCCTGCCTGGAATTCAGTAGCACCAAGAAAGCATGTGTGGTTAATGCCGTGGCTGATACTTGCCTAGAAAGGTAGGCAGACCCTTTTTGATACTCACTAGCAGTTCGAAAGCACATCAAAGTACAAGTAGGTACCACTCTGGCAGGAAGGTAAACGGCGTTTCCGTGCGCTGCTCTGGTTCGCCAGAAGCGGCTTAGTCATGCTGGCCCCATGACCCGAAAGCTGTACGCCAGCTCCCTCGGCCAATAAAGCGAGATGAGCACTGCAACCCCAGAGTCAGCCACGACTGGACCTAATGGTCAGGGGTCCCTTTACCTTTAGTGATAGGAAAGGGTGAGGCCCCCGCTCAGAGATACTTCCCAGTTCCAGGGGTGAGTGCATGCAGTGAAAATAGGTCCTAAGACCGAACCCTGATGAGTTCAGTCTCCATAAAGCACAGGTACATCAGGAAGTAATGGCTTAGTGTACTGGTAGTCATTGCAGCATCTACAGAAGCCTGAATGTATGGTCCTGGCTCTTCCCAAACTATCTGGAAATGCATTGAAAAGAGCTAACGGCTACATTTGCACAGAACATTAAACCATGGTTTAGCTCTTCCGGTGCAGCTGCAAGGAAGCCTTCCCTTCAATTTTAGATTAACTGCAGCCAAAGCCATATATGGGTGCCATGAAAGATGCAAGATTTCATAGAATCGTAGAGTTGGAAGGGATGATGAGGATCATCTAGTCCAACCCTCTGCAGTGCAGGAATCGTTTGCCCAACATAAGGCTTGAACCCACGACCCTGACATTAAGAGTCTCATGCTCTACCAACTGAGCTATTCATCCAGCTATTCGTCTAGTGCCTGTTGGGACAACTATGGCAGAAGTCAGGAGACCAACAGTAGATGGAGTCAGAGCTCAACCCTCTGATTGGTTGCAAGTGAAAAGGCCTTCAGATGAGGGATTGGCTAAGGGCAGACTGAGGTTGATTGAGCAGTGCCCCTTTCCCCCTAATGGACTAGCCTCCAGTGCAGGTAAGTGTATAATACACTGAATAAGACAACAACCTTTAAAATTGTAGGGGCTCCCTATGTTGCTGCCCTACAACTCCCACTAGTCCCAGCCACAGCTGTCGATGGTCAGGGATGATGGGAGTTGTAACATCTGGAGAGCCACAGGCTCCCCACCCCTGCTTGAAAAGATAGCGATCAGCAGAGATCTTTTAAAGATCTTGAGACTATTCACTCTCCTGGTAGATTTCTGTTCTTATTCAGATTTCAAAAATCCCCCAAATGGGCTTTTATGTGTTCCCCTTTGGAGCTGAACACACAGTGAAATGTGGCTCAATGATAAGATGCTTCTCTTTCTTCGAGCTTTTCTTTCCCCGATATTCAATCTACACTTCCTTTTACGTTTTATCCTGTAAAACCACTAAACATAGTTAATACCACCTGGCACCTCTCTAAATCATTCCTGCCTCACTGATATTTATAGCCATCAAATGCTAGCAGGCAATCATTATGCTCTCCCACCCCCCCCACCCCTTCCTTGTGTGTCTCCCCCCACCGCTTTTTAGTTGAGCCAAACATATTTAGGGCTTTTCATCTCCCTGTATACTGCAAGTTAATCCTTCCAGCTTCTTAATCAGTTCTGAAGCTCTTCTCTGAATTCTTTCCAATTTGGTGGCATTTTTACTAGTAATGAGGAGCTCAGGGAGTGGAATAAGAGAGGCACATCTATTACGCTGCTTTCCAAAAGCCAGTTAGAAGACAGATGCAAGGTGACAAGTCCTTAGGTGGGATATCAGCACGATTGTCCTCAGGAAATGCAGTGAAAAGGCCTGCCGTAAGGGAGCAGAAGCACAGTTGTGGCCAGCGCATGGAAATGGACAGTGCACAAAGTTAAGGACTGCTGCCAGTTGGCTATAAAACCTTTGCTGTGCTTCTGAATAACACTAATGGGTTCAAATTTTGGTTCAGCCCAAAAGTCTCCTTTAGCTGGCAGCCATAAATGCAGCTACATGGAAAAATGAGGCAGAGTAATTAACATGACAATAAAGCAGAAGAGGTGGGTTAATAGTGACAGACAGTAGGGGAACTGTCAACTATGTTGTCTGTTGAGTTAAAAGTATAAATGGATCTTCCAGATGTTTTTGTTATTATTAGAAGTGAACGGATATGTATTGGATATTGCAACAATCTAATTAATTTGTTTAATTTGTGTTCTCTGTCATGTTCCACTTTTTATTGTAGAGTTGAATGGCTGGCAATGGTGCTAAGCAAGAAAGATTTGGATTTGGTCAGGGTGATGGAAGTTGTAATCCAACAATACAAGGTTGCCATCCCTCGCATTACAACTTTAGATGTAAAGAAACCTCTGTGAACCTCAAGTAAATCAGAATGTGCGATGGCTGGTGAGTCAGATTTGAAGTGGCTGTCATCTGACAGTGGTAACACTTTTTATCTACAGCAAGCCGGTTCAGAAGTTCAAAATCCTCTCTTTGAAGATACATAATAAATAAATAAAATTCAAGAGAACTGGAAACAAAACACCTTGGTATGGGAAGCAGGTTTCGACCTCCAACTTCCAGGGCTTTACTTCAAAGCAAAAGCTGCCAAGCAAACTTTCTGTGGATGTGTTTTATCAATAACTTGGAGGAGCGTCTCCTCCCCCATCGCTCAGCCTGGACACTGATGTCCTCCAGCGAGGGTCTTCTGGAGGTTCCCTCACTGCAAGAAGCGAGGTTACAGGGAACCAGGCAGAGAGCCTTCTCAGTAGTGGCGCCCACCCTGTGGAACACCCTCCCATCAGATGTCAAAGAAATAAGCAACAATCTGACTTTTAGAAGACATCTGAAGGCAGCCCTCTATCAGGAAGTTTTTAATGTTTGATGTTTTAGTATGTTCTGATATAAGCTGTGAACCGCCCAGAGTGTCTGGGGAAACCCAGCCAGATGGGCAGGGTATAAATAATAAAATTCTTATTATTATTATAAAAGTGACTTCATTTTGGTCCTAAAAGAACAGTAACATCTTTTCCTTTCATCTGAAAGGGAGTTCAGCTGTAAACAAAGCAACCAGTTATTATGGGTGCAATTCACACCCTGCAGTGCCATTTACTTTAATGGAAGACTACAACTTGAGATTAAAGAAACCCATCTATCTATCTAGATTTTCATTTATATCCTTCTGTTATATATTGAAATCTCTCTCTCCACAAGGGTGGAGAGGCTATCACTCAAAAACTCAATGATGGACAGAAACCCAGTCCTTAAGAGTAAGGGGCTCATGAGTTGAGGGAGTGAAATTTTCCACTGCCCTAGCATTTTCTGGGAATCTATGGTCTTTCTTCCACCATCCCACCCCCTATGATACCCCAAAAGCTATAAAGTCTGCCCTAGTGAGAGAACCACTGCAGCTTTCATTCTGAAATTCAACAGGCTTCATCCCCCTCAGAACGGTTGACCATGCCTCCAATTTGCATTCAGTTTCCTATGGGAAAAGGGGGAAAGGTACAGCTGTTTTTAGATTCCTTATTGTAGTGGGGAGGGGAAACTGCACTTTGTTTTCAAAAGAACACATTTGGTTCTGAATAGCAAGTTGGACTGGAAAGACAAGGAGCAGCTCCAAAACCATTTGGGCTCGTATGAAACAGATACAAGACAAATATTGGTGCTGGTGCATACCCCTGGTAGACGCATAGGAGGAAAATCAACCTCTTCATACATCATATATGTTTACAGTGGAATCTTGGAAGCCGAACGCCTTTGAACTCGAACGATCGAAACCCGAAAGTGGTTGTTCCGGTTTTTGAATGATTTTTGGAAGCTGAACGTCTGATGCGGCTTCTGATTGACTGCAGGACGCTTCTGCAGCCAATCAGAAGCCGTACTTTGGAAGTTGAACGCTTTGGAAGTCGAACGGCCTTCCGGAATGGATTCCATTCAACTTCCAAGGTACGACTCTACTGAGATTCCCCATAAAGATTGTTTTCCATGCTTATGATAAAAACTCATTGAAATCAACCAGCTGACCAGCCTTCTAAATGAGAGAACAAAATTCTGAGGTGGATGGATCAACAGTCTGACTCAGTATAAAGCAGCCTCCTCTAATGCACATGTTCCGCTGGGTAATTATTTATTGAATTTTGCCAAGTATTTACTTTACATGTATTATTCATTCTGTTACCATATGTGCATTAACTTTAATTATATCCATTTTATTTTTATTTTGAAAAAGAGTTCACAGCAAACGACAGAATTACCTTCCCACTGTGCACAGATAAACCAAGAATTGACAAGTTCATAGTTACTTAAAAATAGGAAGATGAAAATGATGATAATAATGATGATGATGATGACGATGAAAGATAGAAAGCAGCTGGAAGAGTGTTGGAATTTTATTATGTTCATGCTTTCATTTACTATTTTCATGCTCATTAGGGCTTTTTTGTAAGATAATGTAAGATTCTGGCTACTGAAAAATCTTCAGAGGTTAAATGAGGATGCTGAATAAGAATAGCTGAAAAATGTCAGCAAAAGAAGACAATATTCATCAAAATCAGAGGGGATAATTCTTCATGAATAAAAAAATAGTTTATACATTAAGGTGTATAGGATGTTAATCTGACCCTACTGGATTCAGCAAACCTTAGCGTAGTCTTGAGGATCTAAAATGGATAGGAGCAGTGGTGCAAATGTTTTGCTCTGTATAACCTTTGTCTGCAGAGACACTGACTGGCTAAGGGGCAGTGTCCCATGCGATCCAGGTCCCACATGCAGATAAGCGCACTGTTAACGATATGGATGTAATCTAATATTGGTGTGATGGGGAACCTGTGGTGCCCTCAAATGCTGTTGGGTTGCATGTCCCACCCCCTCTGATCATAGTGGCCAGGACTGATGGGGAACCAACAACAGCTTCTCCATCCTTGGAACAGTGGCCAGATCTGTTTTCTCTGGGGAAAGATGCAGTTGGTGCCCCAACTGAAACGGAACAAAAGTTATTCCTAGCTACAACAGTCACCTGGCCATCCAAAAGCAATGTTGGATTCAGGAGTACCCCTTCCCCAAACTGGTCCTTAAGGGCAGAACAGCAGGCAGTATTTCCAATATCCGATCACCATTTCAAATGAATACTTCTGACTCGAGTAAACCTGAGATTGCTAGCCTACATCTAATCCATAACTGTGCCCAGACACGGGTTCAAGATCTCCATAGCTTTATTGACTACCAGCTGCAAATGAGAGAGAACTCAGTGCCATCGCCATATTGAAAGCACCATATTCCAAAACTCTGGATGAAATTTCCTAGCAATTTTATGTAGGTGTTAAATACAGAACGAGAGACAAAACAGTAGCCTGAGGAGCACAAACAGTAGTTACCCAGCACCATCTTCTGGGAACATTTAAGATAGGACTGGAATCACCAAAAATAGTGCCTGCAAGTCCCATAGCAGCAAGAGTCCCAGGAGGAAACCATAGCTGATGGTGGTATTAAAGCTGCTGAGCAGTACAGCAGAACCAACAGGGATACATTCCCCATTATCTAGTTCCTGGTGCAGGTCATCCACCCAAGTGACCAAAACCTAGCCTGACCTGAGTTTGGAAAGTATCTGAATAACCAGTCTCATCCAAGAAAGCCTCGAGTTGAGTTGCCACCATTATTATTCCTCTATTGTCCTTTGCTAACACTGCATTTCAACAAACCATTTAATTTCTTGCCATTGCTATTTTGCGTGTGTGGTCCTTGTTATAGGCTTAGGCTTACCAGTGTTAGAAACTCAGATAAGCTAATCACCAAACGGCACCTTAAACCTAGTTTATAGTCGCCACCATGGAATGTTTAGGCACCATATTTTTCTTTCAATGAGACTTATTATTATTCATTTCATTTTTGTACTGCTGTATATTTTTAAGAAAAAAATATCCAAGTGGTTCACGACACATTAAAACATCCAATAAAACAATCCAGAATAAAACAAATTCAAAGTGCCGGGAAAATATTTAAGATCCTTCTCTAAGGGACATTCTGCTTTCCCCATATTTATTTACCGACTTAATTTATAGAGCTGCCCCATCGCAGAAGTACTCTAGGAAGCCAGCGTGGCGTAGTAGCTAGAGTGTCGGACTAGGAACTGGGAGATCAGGGTTCAAATCCCCACTCAGTCATGCAGCTCACTGGGTGACCTTGCAGACAAGTCACAGCCTCTTAACCTACCTCACAGGGTTGTTGTAGAGATTAACTTGGGGGGAGGGGTGAACCATGGACTCCTTGAAGAAAAAAGTAGGATATTAATGCCATAAATAAGCTCTTGTGTTTACCTGCTTAAGAAAGCTGCAGGGACAGCCAGGCACCAGCCTGGCACCCAGAGATCTCCATGTGGTCGCAATTGGACCCATGCCAGTCGGAAAACACACCTGGCGCATGGGGGATTTCGAATACCAGGATGTACTTTTAAAACCACATTTAGAGAGAGGGTGAAATATTCTAGGCTTTCCCCCATGAGTTACTAAAACACATTCAAGATCTCCAGAGTCCCCACGACGTCAAACAAATCAAAGTATAAATAAACCAAAGGCAAAACACTAAAAGAAAAAAGGGAAACACTACTAAGACCTAGATAAGCAACATCTTCCACTATAGTCTAGGAGGGTAATTAAGAAAGTTCAAGAAATGATTTGATTAAATAAACTTCCAGTGTAGGCCTGAAGAATGGCAGAGCAAACTTTACATCAAAAGCTCGACAGAACACCAATAGTAGAACTTTCAAAAATGGGTTACGAAGGCATGTAATTTACTTGGATTTGCATAAAGCTATTGAGGAGGTCACACACAGGGGAGTATTAATGAAAACAAGTAATTTTACACTGAAATGGAGAGGCCTCTTGTGGATTAAAAACTGAGAAAAGAAACACCAGGGGGGATTAAATGGTCTTTTGCCATGATGAAAAGAAGCGAATATGTGGGTGCTCTGAATATTAGAGTTGGCCAATGAATTCCGCAATAATCTTGAGTATAAAATAGGAACGATTGAGATAGAATGTGCTGATGACACAAAAATAATTTGGGTCAGAGAATACAAGTGAGGACTGAGGAATTCCAGAAGGATCTAATCAAGCAGGGCGGTTGCGCAATAAGATGGCAGAGATAAATTTTAATGAAGGTAAAGGTAAAAGGCAAATGCTTACGAGGAGGAATAGTTTCGGTTTCAGCTGTTCAAAGAGACTGATTACCCAGCACATCTCAGCGGAAGAGCCGGTGCCTGTTGCTTTATAAACTTCAGCAAAGATGGGGGGGGGGGGAGGATCTGGAAAGTATAAAGCAGAGATGCAGAAGCTGCAGCTCTCAAAATGCTGCTGAATTCAGTCTCTCATCAGTCCCAGCCATCATCACCAATGGACAAAGGTGATGGGAGTTGTAGTTAGGGTTGCCCCCCATTCCTTTAAAAAACTGGATTGTCTTGTTTTTGAACAACAGTGTCCTCTGACCCATTTGGACTTCAAACAATACGCCTTCTGTCCTGTTTTCAAAGTCATGAAAAAATTAAATCGGCATTAACGTTTCCTCCTTTGTGTGCACACCCTAAATTGCTTGTCTTGCACAGCCTACCTTGCTAGGCACATCGGAAATTGAGCCCACCCTCCAAATCGGGCTGATTTATGCTCCAGGCTAGCCAATAGAACTCGCCAGTCAGCAGGCTCTTCTGGGTTGGGCTGAGCTCTGGCCAATGGCTTGAAGAGGAGAGCAAAACACTTCAAAGCTAAGTCTCACTGTGCCTCTTACTATGTGTTTAACTTGTAGTCCAGCAGGACCTGGAGGGTCACAGGTTCCCTGCCCCTAGAGTACAGGAAGAGAGCTATAGGTCAGTAGAAGGGACTGGTTTTAGACCACATGCTCTGCAAGCCATCAGTCCCAGGTTCAATCCCTGGAATCTCCAGGTAGGACTTGGAAAAACTCCTGATAGAAACCCTGGAGAGCAGCTGGCAGTCAGCGCGGACAATATTGAGCTATAAGGTGCAATGGTCAGACTCTATATAAGGCAGGTTCCTGTGTCCCTAAGAGGCAAATCACAACTCAGCTTTGCCCTTTCCTCATTGGGCCCAGCCCCCAAACTGCAGAAGATGCATCAGAACATCAAAGAAAATGCATTATATGTATCATCGAAGAAAATGAATTATATGTATCATACTTCCCCCAAAATTGCATGCAGCATATGTGTTAATCCGACAATACCTAGCTCACATTTGAAATAGCTGGCAATCAACATTCTTTGCTGTAAAGAAAATTTCCACTGGTTAATTAACAAAAATTTGCTATCAGCAACTGCAATATTGATTTGTCCTCAGCTGCAAAATTAGGAGTCCCTATTCAAACAAATTCCCTCATTTGATTCAACGCGTCACAGTGTTTATCAGGTTTCGTTTCCAATATCCCTACTGACATGCAAACGCCTGGAAATCATGTCGCTGCGTTTCATAAGCAGAGACTAGGCCCATTCAGGGATGCTAGGAATGTCAATAGCTGTTAACTACAAAGAGAACAGAGTCAGTCTCCTGACTCCCTAGTAATTAAACTGCAAGGGAAAGAAAGCAATCAACAGGAATGAAAAACTCCGATGAAATGGGGAGTATGTTATTGTATTCATTTGTTTTATCATTTATTATTTTATTACATCTCTGTGTACTACTATTGTTGACCCTGTAATGAATACATTTTAGAATTAAATGCAACAATGGCTCTTACCCAGCCAAGGCACCAGCAGGAGGACGGTGATTAGCATCTGATTCGCTGTCCCTTTGGAAACCTCCATCATTATCTTCAACGCTGTTCTGGACTGTTTCCCAACCCTCTGGAGTGGAAGCAGGGGCAGGGGCATAAGGAGATATAGGGCAGAGGTGGGAAACTTCAGACCTGGGTGCTAAATGCATCTCTCCAGGGCTGTCAGTACTCTGAACTATTTGAACTGTGATAAGGCCTCTATTGTATGGATGGAGGTGGGAGTTGTGTGTGTGTGTGTGTGTGTACCTCTGACTTTCGCACAGCTGGAATATAGTCTACTGTGCAAAGGTAAGAGTAACATCCATTCTCTTGCTCCATCCACTTTTGCCTCTGGCCCTGCCCACCCCTGGCATGCGGCCTCCAGAAAGTTGGTCATGAGAGAATACAGCCCTCAGGCTCAAAAGGTTTCTCACCCTGCAATAGGAGAAAGTGGGAATCAGCAAAAATCACATCTTTCCCTTCAGCCAAGTGCAGCTTTTGCTGGGTCAGTGATGCACATCGTACTGAGTGAATATGTTTCCAAACAATAGATGTGGCTGTAATATTATCTTCCTGCTTAGTTACGGTCCTCTTTGCTGTTGGCCTCTTGGTACGCTTAGAAACTCTTACCAACAATCTGGAAAATTAGGCAAGGCCAGAGATACAGAAGTGATCCTTAAAGCTTATTTTCTGAAACAGGAATTGAAATGCACAAGTCTATCAACCTGCGGACACCCAAAGGTAAGATTCCTGTAAAATACAGAAAGCAACCCCATCACTAACCTTTGCCTAATAAGTCTGCCCAAAGCAGAGTTATGTTTAACCATTTATTACCCTTCAACATGAGTTACTAAGGAAACGTCTGTATTTCCGAGTGAGAAAGGAAAATGTGACCATTCCATTGACATATTCTTGAAAACAACTATAGTCATTTCTATACCCAGCTATTATGCAGCAGCTACAGTGTCAAACCCTGATGTCATGAGCCAGTTATTCCATCAGGCTATAATTTGCATCACTAGTTTCAGAGGCAGGAATTTCAGCCTGCCAATATTAAGTTTCTGGCCTTCAAATCCACTTACTACCTTACTGCTGAGTTTTGCCGCTCTGTCTTCCATGGAATGTGGTTTCCATGGGAGACACAGTTTAAAAACATGTTTCAGCAGGGATATCATGTTCTCTGATTTCAGATTTCTCGCTTCCTCTTCCATCTTTGATACTGCAAAATTCAAGGTAAATCTGGGCAAACTTTAAGCAAAAAACTTTGGAACTGAAAGTTCCGCCACCTAAAGGCATATGCTTTGAGGGCCTAAAAATATTGACAGGGCAATCTTTTGCATTTTTAAAAAAATCATTTAAAATGCTTTTATATACCACTTAATATATCAAAATTATTTTTCTTCCCAGTTTAGTGTTAGTAATAGTATTGTTAAGTTCTGTCCACAACTAGCACTGTCATCATATGGGATCAGTTGTTACATTGTTTTCCTTTTTATATTGTTTCACATCTACCCTCCTTTTAAACACTGCTTTTATATTTTAATGTTCAGTATTTTTTAAAAAAATGTTCAGTAAATAATAATCGTTACACAGGTGTAAGCCCCATAGGTAAAGGCAAAGTGACCCCTGACCATTAGGTCCAGTCATGACCGACTCTGGGGTTGCGGCGCTCATCTTGCTTTATTGGCCGAGGGAGCCGGCGTACAACTTCCGGGTCATGTGGCCAGCATGACTAAGCTGCTTCTGGCGAACCAGAGCAGCGCACGGAAACGCCGTTTACCTTCCCGCCAGAGCAGTACCTATTTATCTACTTGCACTTTGACGTGCTTTTGAACTGCTAGGTTGGAAGGAGTAAGCCCCATAGCACACTTTTATTTGGAAGTAAGTCCCATTGAAATTAGTGTGACATCTGAGTGAACACTGATAGGATTATGCTGTCAGCTTCCCTGATCATAAACTGAATGCTGCTTGTGCAACCCTCATCATTACATAGCTATCAGCTAAGGCAGGGGTAGCCATGTGGTCCTTTCCACATGCTGTTGGACTCCAACTCCCATCAGCCCCAGCCAACATGGTCAACAGTCAGGGATGCTGAGAGTTGTAGTCAACAAAAACATCTGGAAGGCACAATTCTGGAAGGCTACCCGCCAGCTAAGGCAACACTTAATTTCTATTTTATCATATGGTTAGAGCATGGTTCTGATAATGCCAAGGTCGCAGGTTTGATCCCTGTACAGAACAGTTGCATATTCCTGCATTGCAGGGGGTTTAGACTAGATGAGCCTCAGCGTCTCTTCCAGCTCTATGAATCTGTGATATGCTTCTAAGAAGTTTAGAACATAAAGCTTCATTCACTTGGATTTTTGTGCAATTGTAGGCAGACTTTTAAAATGTAACAGATGGAGTGAGGGGGAGTTTAAAGATTTGCAAAACATCTACTTCATAATGAATATATACATGCCACTTACATTTCTTCACTTGAATGCTTTCCTTACTGTCCGCAGAAGCATTTTCAAACATTAATGAAAATAAAGGCACAACATAAAACAGTGTGTATATTAGAATCCCAAGTATCTCGTGCAAAAAAATTCCATCCAAAGCTGTAGCCGCTATCATTATTTCAACCTCTCGCTCCTAGCTCTGAAGCATCCTGCTGCTACACGCACCTCATAGGACTTTATAAGCATTTTCTTCCTAGTTAAGCATGTAACTAGGAAATAATCTTCCTAGCAACCTGAATATAAACACACAGCACAAGAAGAATAAGTTATTAGTAGGCAAGTAAACTTGGTTGCCTGCCAGGAAGGAACCTATGAAAAATAGGTAGAAAAATAGAATGGTTGCTGACAGGTTTCTTTTGTGAAATAGGCTGTGTTTTGCCAGGCTCTCACAGTGGACTATAGACTGCTTTCCAGAACACGTACCTGGGTACAGCAAATAAACGTGAGTACAGTTGCCATTTATGATCAGGTATTCCGGGTTGCAGTCTAATTCCTACATAGAAATTGTTTCCTTTATAGGAATTTTACATCACATGAACCAGTCTTATTTGGTTATTCAAACTGTCTCAGAGCTACAATTCCCAGCGTTCCGAGGAAAGAGGGATTCACAGATTTTGCACCCCTGGTTTAAACAGATTGCTGAAAAATAAAAATAAAGATTTTTATAATGAAAAACTCTCATTTCCTCTGTAAGTGGCTCTAGAAGCATTACGAACATGGAATTTTCATAATTCTGCTCAGAGCTCTGTTTGGCCTAATTGTTGCAGTACAGTTATTATTGAATATAACTACTGTCCTCATGCCTTGATTGGAAAAACTGCATGGTAGAAACCTGACATGCTCAAAGGTTTCATAGCAAGAACTAAAAACAGATGGGTGCCCCACAGAGTAAATCTAATTCTCCAATTAGATCATGGAAATGTGAACCTAAATGCTGTCAATACGTATTGATTAAGCAAATGGATACAAAAAGGGTAGCTGCTCAATGATGGGAAATCCCTGATCTCTTTGGGGACGGGGGTGCAGGTTTCGCATTAATGATCCTGTTTCCAGATGTTGTTTCTCTTCCCACCATCATCTTTGGGAACAGCTTAAAGGATGCTTTCAAGAAAGAGCCTCTGGACAAGTGAGGAATAACTTCCTCTCTGTCTCTGAAGGAAGCTCAGTATTTAATGCCTTTTGTTTATAATGGGGAGGCATGGGGGGGCTGAGCATCTTCATTGGGGCTGGAAGATACTCCCTGTCTGAAATCCTAGGAAGCTGCTGCCAGTCAGTGTTGACAATACTAGGCTGGATAGTTCAATGATCTGATAAGGCAACTTCATAGCTTTTTACCCTCGTAGGATTACTGTGTGTACTTCAGAGTGAAAGTTCTTAAGGTATGGCTTATATGGTACTCTGGAAGCAGCCCAAGACAACTACCTCCTTCCTCCAAAATGATTGGCCTGCAGTAATTGACAAATCGCCATTCAGCTGTGATCCAGATTATCAGCGATCATTCATTCACATCGTAACTGGCAATCTCTAGCTGAAGTTCTTTGAAATTTCTACTATCATTTCATTATCTCACATATTTTACGGAATACTTAAGAAGAGATATCAAACTGTGCTGCTTCTAATTCGCAGATTTCTATTGCTAGAGAAGTGCAAAAACAGAGAGAGCCAGCAGCTACCCGGAGAGAAGCAAGACTGCTTAGTTTCTTTGCCAGATTGCTGTGGAGACTTGACGGCACATGTAGCCTACAACCCAAGACAGCAGGTGTTACCTTTCTGACCAAATTATTAATCGTAATGCATTTAAAGTATGTTTAGACATGCTATACGTTTAAAAAAATTAGCAGCAGACTGCTTTCTTGCTCCCAATTCTATTGTCACAAACCTTTGCAGTGAAAACATTCGAGGAAAATCCCAATCTAACCAAATACCTTGCCTCGACACGAGAGAATTTATTAGCAGCTTAATATAAGCATTAAAAAGAAAATGAAACATGCTCACATCAAAAGGCAGGCACAGAGCTCGTGAGCCTTTCTAAGGCAATAAGCTTTCCTTAACCTCCAATTCTCCTGTTGTGGGAACTGCAAGTCACTCAATATAATAAGAATATAACTGGGTCAATAAAATGGGGTCATCCTTCACTAGTAAGCCTCACAAAGTAAGTTGTGGAAGAGATTACTGCCACGTTGAGATGGGATTCAATTTAGTTTAAGATTATGATCATAATTCAACCGTATCTTATTTGTTTTCTTTTGTGCTATTTGAGAAACTTGAGATTTTTAAAAAAATATCCTTGCTGGAATTCAGATCATGGGATAATATCGGTGATGCGTTTCTGCCATGATGCTTTAATAATATCCCTGCAACCTTCAGTGTGAAAGTCTCTTAAAGCCCTTTAGACACAACCAAATAATAATAGTGTAATTAAAGAACACTTCCAGTGTTGTGTGACCATAGGAGACACTTATAGCAGCCTTACTGAGCCTGGTGCCCACCAGATATTTGTTGGACTACAACTCCCGTCATCTCTCACCACTGGCAATGTTGCCTGGGGCTGATGGGAGTCCAATAACATCTGGAGGGCACCAGGTTGGATAACCCTGCTTTTCTTTAACCCTGGCCCAGCTATCGTGAGTCCAACAATACTGTCAGGATTGGCAGGACCAGATGGAGGAGGAGGATCAAATGGCAGGTGCTGAACTGTGAGAATGTGGTTTGGAGGAGACTGAGCTCTCCCTTTTCCACCTTGACATCAGTCACTTTGGGAATGGAAGGAGGGATGCTGGCCCTCCCCACGCTCCTGCAGACCAGAGAGCCTCAGTGGAGGCTGGAAGAGCTTTGCTCAGCTGACGGCAAAGAGTGAACAGGAGGTGGCAGCCATTGAACAGAAGGCTGAACATGAGGGTGCAGCCTTCCCAGATGGGAGCCAACCCATGCGCCCGAACCAAGTGTGTGCTTCCAGGTTTGACATTCCCACAATGTGAGAGAGTCTTGTAAATGAGAACACCATGCCTCATCTTTAAAAGCTTGGCAGGAGGGGTGGGGAATTGCTGGGACATCTTTGTGGCTCCTGAGTGCTGTGTCCACTGCTAAGCCTGTACTGTTATTCGGCTGAATAAAGATATTGTTGTGAATTTTGGGGCGCTAACCTGCATGTTGCCCAGGTCCCTTCTAATTGCTGGATCCATCTGGCAAGGGTTAAAATATAATGGAAATATAGGGCTTATCCACACTTCCTTTTGTCCTCCCAGGGAAAACCGTTCTTTAGTGCTCAATCAGAGCAAACAGCACGTTTGTTCCAACTCTCAAGATGAAGAGCAGATAAAGAGCAGAAAACCACTCAGTCCTGTGCTTTTTAGGCATGGGACAAGCAGAAGTGTGGACAAGTCTTTTGCCAGGCAAATTTATTTGAGACAATGACCATAGTTGCCACCTAAGGACCACAAAAGGAGTGATGATGCCCTCTGGGCAAATGGGCGGGCCTTTCCCCTTCCACACCTGGCTGGCACTTAGAAGGACAAAAGCCAGAGTGTATGTGAGCTGGGAGCAGGCTGCAGGTAGAAGCTAGAAAGACAGAGCCATACTTGATTTCTGCTGGAATCTAAGGCTGTGACTATGGGAGAAGCAAGACATTTGGGATGTTCATGCTGTGAGCTCTTCCACCTTAGGCTCGGGTTGTATATATGTGTAAATAAACCATATATCATAAAGACACAACCATCTCCACTATCTCTTATGGCAAGGAAACCAAACATGGGGAAAGAATTTGGAACATCTGAAATTTCACACGCCTCAGAGATTGAGGTGGTGTGCAATACTGTATTTATTACAAGTAAGAGCCTCTGTCAGCATATTTGAGCAAGAGTCTGAGCACCGCCATGGGAAAAGTGGGGCAGTGCCCCCTCCCCCCCCCAGAGGGTGGCAAGGCAAGCTCTGGCTGTCCACAGGGCCTACAGGCTCTCCCCTCCCAATTCTCCTCACCTGTCTCATCCTAAATGCAACAGCGCAGTTGCATTTTCATAATTCCCACTATTTATACAGACACCTTGGTAAAATTGACAGTTCCCTGGGGAGACCTATGCGGATGCACTGAAATCCACAATTCTGTTTGTTAACAATATTCTGGCTGAAGTCACAGCATACCAACTCGGGTGGAAATTTTGAAATAAAGGGGGGAAATAGAGCATATTTGCCAAAGCATATTTCTGAGCCATTTCAAAGCTCCCCCACTCAATCCCTTGCATACTAACTAGAATTTTTAGCATCATGTTTAGTTTATGGATGAATTCTTCTCAGCTTCATACAGAAGAACTGGTTCAGTAATTACAAGCTTTCTGTAAGAAACGGGGGGAAGAATGCTCCTCCCCAAGAGTTCTCTTTTTAATTCATAAAATAAACACATATGCATTGATGGTTCCATACACATGTACCTTATCATGTCGTCACCTGGAAATAGTTGCATTGACGGCTCGCCCTTCCAAAACAACATACCTGGGTGCAATGAATGGCTTAATGGAATGATGGAATCAAAAAACAATTGAGGAACTTGACCCAAACAGAGGAGATGCTCATCAACAAAAGTAAGAAGAGTTCCTGCTGGGACTGACTGAAGTCCCATCTGGACCCATTTACAAAACAATCACTTCTTATAAAACACTATTAGCAGAACAACTAAAAAAAATAAGCTAAGCAGCAGACCCAGAACAAAAGATCCAGAAACCATATTCTTATGTTCTTAAATGTATGG